AGATCTTCATTTTATAACAAATGAAGATCTCTTGTAAAACGAACATAAAATAATACATAATATATATATCCTCTACCTTTTTGACGTAATTCATGCGAAATATTTTGGATTTTTTTCCTCTTGTTGTTTTGAATATTATGATGCCTTTATATATTGTTGTGATATGTTAAGAGATTTCTTGATTAACCCTGCACAGGAAAAATATTATGTATACTATTATCAAATATTTAACTAATAAATATTTTAAACTACAGTGTGTTTATATAAATATCATTATAGGGATCATTATTCATCTAGCAGAGAATTATTCATGAATTTACATTTTATACATTTATTAACCGCGTTTAAATATTTTCACATCTAAACTATAATGACCTTGCGAATTGTATTTATTTTTTAAAGGATAATATATGCAATACGTTATAATCCATCAAATTATATTTGGTTACATAATTTTAGTTTAAGTCACCGATGACCCCTTAAATTTGTTTGTGTATTACACTTAGAAACTTTAGTAGACTATTTTTCCTATTAGATACTCTAATCTTAGAAAATAAATACCAATTGAACATTTTTGTGATACTTATTAAAAATACTAAATGTTTGTATTACACTTGCATATGTTATGTCAAATAAAAAATCAAATGAAGACACGTGGCATTTTTAAAAACAATTTTGAATATAAACAAGTCAAAATTTAAAAACAAAAGCATTCAGATTATTTTTTAAAAAAATAATGAAATTATGCAGCCCACCCCAAATCTCCCCTTTCTTCTCTTTCCCTACCAATCACTCTCTGGAGTTTTAAGATATATTATATATGAATTTATTATTTTTAATTCTCTTTATGACTTCTTTCTTATTCCTATCAAAATTGATAGTGTTTTATTAAAAGATCGGTTTTTTATTTGTTTATTTTGATTATGTATTTTATTTTCTTTTCTTTTTGTTTCTACATCGATTTGTTGGGAATAAAGGGTGTAGATTGGGCCGGTGTGTGGGGAAAGGTGAATATGGAGAAAGAATATATTTAAATAATAATTTCCATTTTTCTAGCAATAATGATGAATATGGTGGTCTCCATTGTTTCCAGCAAAACCACGGGTACGTTAACCTGCCTGTGGTAGGGAGTTATCATTCCACAGGCCCAGACCTACGACCACGGGACCCTTCACGCGTCGTGGTCTTGCCAACGGATCACGTGTGCATCCATGGAGTCAACGCAGTAGGCTCCCTAGCAATCCCCTTAAAACCCCACGCCCAAGTAAAGACCATGAGGACCTTTACAGTCCGTGGTCCTTTACATGACCATGGGATGGTCCGTGATAGTTTAGGAAACAACCCTCCTACACACACACACACACACCTTCTTGTCAATCCCAGGAATCCCCAACTTCTAAGTGAGGACCACGAGGGACTTCATTTGTCCCGTGGTAAGGTCCATGAACAAAGGCCACCAGACCCCAGGACCTAAGTGAGGACCACGGGAACCTTCACTATTCATGTTCCTTAACACAGCAACAGGTAGGACCCATAGATCGGACTCCTAGAACACAGTAAACCTTGGATCAAATACGACGACCTACTTCACCATCTATGATCCTTTTCATCGTCGGTGAAAGTGGTCGTGGTAAGCCACATCAACAGTTTAAGTTACAGATACTTTTCTCATTTCCTATTTGTTTGACCCCTAAATTACGTTGTTTAAACCCTAAGCTACATGGTTTTGGTTAGTTTTAGCGTAGAAACATTACTAGAACTTATCTAAGTTAAATCTTTCATGAAAACTTACAAAATTAGAACTTTGAGAGAAAAAGGAGGAAACAAAACCCAGTTCAACATCGCAACAAATTCCATCTGTTCAAGTCCAAAATCGATGTTTTCTCCGTGGAATTCCTCACCAGGTATTTTGGAATTCACTAGTTGGTTCCTTTTGCCCAGTAGGTCCATATATTTAAGTCAAATTCTTGATTCCCTATTATCAACAAGACCTAGGATTTCTTGAACTTCAGCATATTATCATGTGATTACTTTATTTCTTGCATGAAATTCAGAACCAAGCTATGTACTTCTTTGGTTCTTCAATTACACATGCTAGGTCAGATATTTCAAATATATAAGCCTTAGTCTTGAATGTATGATTATCAGTATATTCATATGTATTGCCAGATCGCATGTTCGCTTTGAGCTATCTTGTATATCACAGAAATTCAGTCATAATACGCTAGTCATTTAATATATTGGGAGTAGCATAAGACTGATTTAGATTAGGGTCAATCATCCACATAGTCCAAGAACTACCAGCAACGTAGGCTTTAAGTCACATATGTGGGCATCATTTTAGTGATCATACCAGAATGAGCCTACACCTTTAGTCGGGTATATTGGGTCCCTTGTGTGCGGCATATACATTGGAATCCACATTTATCTCATGTGGTTTTATTATCGCTTAATAATAGCTCCCATAGTTCACTCAGACCCCATTGTATTGACAACATTTTAGTATAGTCAATATTTAAACTCAGCATGTTATGATTTGGTTATTGTATTCAGCTAGCTCATTACTCGGTATCTATATCATGTTTAAATTATACTTTTGTTTGCTTGTTTAGTTCTATGTTTATTTCACTTTTTCTTTATCTTGCATACTCAGTACCTTTCAAGAACTAACGCATACTCTGCGCTACATTTTCTTGTGATGTGAGTTTAGGTTCTCAGCATCTAGATCACATCAGATTCATTCCCCATCTCAAGTTCAACAACATTAGTGTTTAATCCTCATCCTTCGAGGACAATACTTTAGTTATCTTAAAAAATTTCACCCTTTTAGTTTCAATATTTCTAGACATAGCTGGGGCATGTCCCAAAAGTTTCTAGCTAGTTAGAAGCTATTTTAGGACATCATTATATTTAAATTAGTATTCCGAGTTTGATATTTCTTTCTGTTGAATTCTCAGATTTAATATGTTTAGTTTTGTACATGGGTATTCCCAAATAATTTTAGATATACTTTAATATTAGTATCTGCATCAGATATTATTACTCTCATTATACTCATGTCATGCCAGTAGGGTTAGCTTGGGTCTGATCTTAGGTCCGTGTCCACGTTTAGAGGTTAGCCTTTGGATGTGTCAAGTAGGAACGAGGCGAGTTATAAAAATGTGAACCGCTACAAAGACTTCTAAATAAGAAGATTAACAATATATGCATAAACATTATTCAGTTATTTAGTTATTCTTCATACTTTGTTAATTGTTCATGGTTCTAACAACCCTAGTTGTGGATTAGTCACTCGCGATTGAGAGTTCATAATTCATAATTAGGTTAAAAGATTTCACGAACTTACAATGAGATTCAAAGTGAAATTTTCATAAACTAGGTTCTAGAAAATAAATTGCTAAGTGTTACAAAAATAATTCCAAAAATCCAAAACTTAAATATACAATAATGTATAACCCTCAAAAACGTAAATCAAAACTAATATTCATAGAACACAAATACTAAACCAAATAGGAATGAAAATAATAAAATAATATATTACATGCGGTTTCAATCGAAGACAGAAGCTAATGACTGTGTATCCACTTATGGTCCATGATCTCCTTCGTGGATCAACACATGGAAATTATTTTAGGGACTTGAGACGATGGTTGGACCTATTCTCTGTGGAATTGACTACGTTTCGTCACTTTCCTCTACGTTTTAAGTAATAGAACTTCGAATTTCTAATCACAAATGACGGATGTACATAACGGTCTGTGCTTCGATCTATGGGTCATCGATACCCTCCCTGGTCCCACACTTTGTTAAAATTCTTTGAACCATCATCTATGTTGCATCCCCTACGGCCCATCAATGAACCAACTGTCTGTGGTTGGCTCCGTCACTGGCCAATTCTGCAATTTTCAACTCTTATCTCATTCACCGCATTTGAACTTATTTACTACAAGAATTTTATATAATCATTATTTCCAACAACAAAATAACCCAAGACACACACCAACTCTAAGTGAAACACATCAAAAATACTGTAAACTAAAGGTATATCACTTCTCTTAATAATTTGATCTTTTTGAGCTCTGTCTACTCATGATACCTATTGAGAAAAATATGATGTAGTACTCATACTACATTTCTGAAATCTTTTCTGACAGAATTACCAGTACGAGCCACTCTCACTTATTGTTGAATTCCTCGGGATCGTCACTGACTCGGATCATGGTGAGTTCCTAACGTCCGGAGTATTGCTGCTTTTTCTATTTTTTACTGACTTGTATTTTGCATTTTGATTAGTTAGTCCATTTTCGTATAGAGCTTCCATACTTAATTCTTCATGTTCTAGTGACACCAGGTTTAGAGATTTAGTTCTTATGCTACTTTGTCATTCTTTGTCATTTTCAGGCATCTTTTATATATTGTGTATCATGTTTATTTTTTATTTTATGGCCCTATTTTGTATATTTATTCTTGTTTCTTCTTCCTATCGTTATATTCTTATGTTTTGTAAATTTTAGTTTTTCGTCTTGCCTACAAAAGGGTTAGAGTAAGCGTCATTATGATCAAATTTTGAGTCATATCATAGACTTTGATTAGTTTCTTGTATTTCATAATATATGTATGATGTAAAAAAAGGTACATAAAATTTATTTGATTTCTCTTCTGTAGCATAAAATATATTTGAATACTATTTTGTCGCCTATCTCATTCAGTCTAAAATGGAAGAAACTATTTACTTTGCAATAACTAAAAAGTAAATGTGGTCATGCGTGGTAGGTAGATACTTCTCTATTTAAGTTGTGATTTAGCTTCACTTTCTTCATCCCATTTATAATTTCTTGATCACTAAGACGTTCTTTTTTCTAATCTTCTTCCTCCATAAGTCATTCCCCTCTTTGAATCCTCTATTCCATCTCTGCTTTTATAGAAAACATCATTAGTTTATCCTATAAATTCATTTTCATTTTTTGCATTAACTAGATATCATTATATATTGATCTAAAATGGAGGATGATCATCGGGATATAGGTGCAATAGCAAGAAGTTGTAATATGAATAAACCTAACAATGTTGTAGCTCCTAAATTAGGTTTGAAAGCATCTCATGTTTGGAATTATTTTGACAGAGTTTTAGCTCCTGGCATGAATAGTTTTAATGGTTCATCTAAAAGTGTTTCTTTAGATTTTCCAATAGCTCGTCAGGAAAGATCATATGATCAGGTTAGCAACCAGCAATTCTACTTGCATTCAATTGAACCAGTTCAATTTTTCCAACAAATCATTGTTCCTCAATCTCGAACAGCGGTGGCATGTGTTCCACCAACTACAACACAGCCAGAACGGATAGATCTACAACAACAACTCGATATAGGGTCTAAAATTCATCCTAATTTTGCTTCTTCTATGAAGAGTCCTTTGACCTAATATACAACAAGGTAACCACTCACTTCATACATTTTATGCTTGTATATTGAAATTTTTGACTTAAGTGCTTCTGATTCAGGAAAAATCAGTCGATAAGGCTTACCTATGAATTATCACAAGAGGAACTCACAAATGACAAATGGGCATGGAGCAAGTATGGTCAAAAGTATATAAAAGGTTCCCCATTTCCAAGGTTTGCTCTCTCGCCAATTTTTTCATGTTATAGAAAGTTATGTTCCCTTCCGTTCTCAATTTTCGTAACAAAAAGTAGTAAAAATTATTAATGGTGTATACAATTATAATATTTGAATAAAGCTAATTATTACTTTGTGCATATGGCATAACAGGAATTACTATAAGTGTAGCACATCAAAACAATGCGAAGCAAAGAAACAAATTGAGAAAAGCTCAAAGGATGAGAACATTTTCTTTGTATCTTGTTCCGGTGAACACAATCATGATCCACCCATGAGCCGTAGATATCTTGCTAGCTTCAAAAATAATTCCAAATTCAAGATTCCAAAAAGCATAAATATTTTTCCCAAAGAATCAATCTTTAATGCATCATCATCATCGTCCAAGTGCATTAAGCATTCAACAGATGTTGCTTCTTCAATTATCGGAACTAAGCCTCCACTTGAAATCGGGAGCAAAAACAAAATGCTTTTTGCGGTCGTGCAGAACAAAGGTGATGGTAAATAAAAGTTACACATAAATGAAGATATTTTCATGGGTATTGAGGAACTCCAAATTGGTACTACTTCCACCTAATAGGAGGAAAATGACAAGAGAAATCAATCTTTCTCCCCCTCTCCACCGAATTTCTATGTCGACATATGTGAACTTATAGTCATGCTCCGATTATAGGTTTTTAGTGTGGGAAGTCAAGAATTATAGTTTTATAGTTTCCTATAATTAACCATTTAATTATTAGAAAAATGGATCTTTTTTAGTTTCATTATTTTCTATTGTTCTTCAATTATACAATCTAGTCTTTGTAGTAAGTTTTTGTTTCGTATTCTCAAATATTTCTCTTTTTAAGGAACCTTATTTGAATTAATTTTTACATTAAATTATATAGAGTAGTATATTATCATTGTTCAATAAGAGATCTTCATTTTATCACAAATGAAGATCTCTTGTAAAACGAACATAAAATAACACATAATATATATATCCTCTACCTTTATGATGTAATTCATGCGAAATATTTTGGTTTTGTTTTCCTCTTCTTGTTGTTTTGAAAATTATGATGCCTTTATATATTGTTGTGATATGTTTAGAGATTTCTTGATTAACCCTGCACAGGAATAATATTATGTATACTATTATCAAATATTTAACTAATAAATATTTTAAACTACAGTGTGTTTATATAAATATCATTATTGGGATCATTATTAATCGGGCCAAGAATTATTCATGAATTTACATTTTATGCATTTATTAACCGCATTTAAATATTTTCACATCTAAACTATAGCGACCTTGCGAATTTTATTTATTATTTAAAGGATAATATATGCAATATGTTATAATCTATCAAATTATATTTGGTGATATAATTTTAGCTTAAGTCAGTGATGACCCCTTAAAGTTGTTTGTATTTCACTTAGAAACTTTAGTAGACCATTTTTCCTAGTAGATACTCTAATCTTAAAAAATAAATACCAATTGAACATTATTGTGATACTTAGTAAAATGACTAAATGTGTGTAATACACTTGAATATGTTATGTCAAATAACAAATCAAATGAAGACACGTGGAATTTTTAAAAACAATTTTGAATATAAACAAGTCAAAATTTAAAAACAAAAGCATTTAGATTATTTTTTTAAAAATAACGAAATTATGCAGCCCACCCCAAATCTCCCCCTTTCTTCTCTTTCCCTACCAATCACTCTCGGGAGTTTTAAGATTTATTATATATGAATTTATTATTTTTATTTATCTTTATGAATTCTTTCTTATTCCTATCAAAATTGATAGTGTTTTAATAAAAGATTGGTTTTTGATTTGTTTATTTTGATTTTGTATTTGCTTTTCTTTTCTTTTTGTTTCTACATCGATTCGTTGGGAATAAAGGGTGTATATTGGGTTGGTGTGTGAGGAAAGGTGAATACGGAGAAAGAAAATATTTAAATAATAAGTTCCATTTTTCTAGCAATGATGATGACGATGCTGGTCTCCATTGTTTCCAGCAAAACCACGGGTACGTTGACCTGCCCGTAGTAGGGAGTTATCATCCCCCAGGACCAGACCTACGACCACGGGACACTTCACGCGCCGTGGTCTTTCCAACGGATCACATGTGCATCCGTGGAGTCAACGCAATAGGATCCCTAGCAATCCCCTCAAACCCCCCACGCCCAAGTAACGACCATGAGGACCTTCACGACCGTGGGATGGTCCGTGATAAGTTAGGCAACAACCCTCCCACACACACACGCACCTTCTTGTCAATCCCAGGACTCCCCAACTTCTAAGAGAGGACCACGAGGGACTTCATTTGTCCCGTGGGAAGGTCCATGAAAAAGGGCCACCAGACCTTAGGACCTAAGTGAGGACCACGGGAACCTTCACTATCCATGGTCCTTAACACAGCAACAGGTAGGACGCATGGACCAGACCCCTAGAACCCAGTAAACTCTAGACAAAATACAACGACCCACTTCACCATCTATGATCCTTTTCACGGTCCGTGAAAGTGGTCGTAGTAAGCCCCATCAACAGTTTAAGTCAGAGGTACTTTTCTCTTTTCCTATTTTGTTGGACCCCTAAATTACGTTGTTTAAGCCTTAAGCTACATGGTTTTGGTTAGTTTTAGCGTATAAACATAACTAGAACTTATCTAAGTCAAACATTTCATGAAAACTTAAAAAATTAGAACTTAGAGAGAAAAAGGAGGAAACAAAACCCAGTTCAACATCGAAACAAACTCCATCTGTTCAAGTCCAAAAATTAATGATTTCTCCGTGGAATTCCTCACCAAGTATTTTGGAATTTACTACTGGGTTCATTTGCCCAGTAGGTCATATATTTAAGTCAAATTTTTGATTCCCTATTATAGAATAGACCTATGATTTCTTGAACTTCAGCATATTATCATGTGATTACTTCATTTCTTGCATGAAATCCAGAAGCCTAGCTATATACTTCTTTGTTTCTTCAATTACACATGCTAGGTCAGATATTTCATATATACAAGCATCAGTATTGAATGTATGATTATGAGTATATTAATATGTATTGACAGATTGCATGTCCGCTTTGAGCTATCTTGTATATCACAAAAATTCAGTCATCATACGCAAGTCATTTAATAAATTGGGAGAAACATATAACCGATTTAGATTAGGGTCAGTCATCCATATAGTCCTAGAACTACCAGAAACTTAGGTTGTAATTCCTATATGAGGGCATCATTTTAGTGATCACACCAGAATGCATATACATCTTTTGTCAGGTATATTGGGTCCCCTCTATAAGGCATATGCATTGGAATCTACATTTATCTCATGTGGTTTTATTATCGGTTGTTAGTAGCTCCCACAGTTCACTCAGACTCCATTGTATTGACCACATTCTAGTATAGTCAGTATTTATTCTAAGCATGTTATCATTTGGTCATTGCATTAAGCTAGCTCATTACTCAGTATCTATATCATATCTATATCATGTTTAGATTATACTCTTGTTTGCTTGTTCAGTTATATGTTTGTTTCAAATTTACTCTATCCTGCATACTCCGTGCCTTTCAAGTACTAACGCATACTCTGCGCTACATTTTCTTGTGATGTCGGTTCAGGTTCTCAACATCTAGATCATATTTAGATCGATTCCCCATCTCAAGTGAAACAACATTAGTGTTGAGTCCTCATACTTCGAGGACAGTACTCTTGTTATCTTAAAAAATTCACCCTACTAGTTTCAATTTTACTAGACCTAGCTGGGACATGTACCAAATTTTCTAGTTAGTTAAAGGCTATTTTAAGACATCATTAGATTCAAATTTAGTATTCCGAGCTTGATATTTCTTTTTATTGAATTCTCAGATTAAATATGTTTAGTTTTGTACATGGGCCTTCCCCAATCATTTTAGATATACTTTATTATTAGTATCCGCATCAGTTATTATTACTCTCATTATGCTCATGTCATGCCTGTAGGGTTAGCTTGGAGTCTAATCTTAGGTTCGTGTGCACGTCTAAGGGGTATCCTTGCGACGTTACAATCTACTAGACCTCTCTTCGATTAGATTTTTATGTACCCCTTTATTATTTATTTTCCTCAAAGTTCTATATGATAAAATTACACCTCTCTTAAAGAAGCATAAACGATCACTATCAAGAAAAAAACCGACTTGTAGGGTGGGGTCAATCGCACAAGGAATATGGTTTAAAATCAAATATAACTCGCAATTATATCTTTTTAATCAAACTATTTTCGAAATAAGTAAATAGGATTTTTTGTAAATAAAGTTACAGATTGTTGATTTGAATCAATAAGTAACAAGTAATAAAGATTCAAAGTATGAGAGATCAATATAAGATGGAAACTAGGGTATATGTGTTCCCCCAAGATTTTAATGCAGTAATCATAATAATAGTAATCCTTTCCTAGTGTTTGGCATGCAAGGTCGATAAATTATGTATCCCTAAGTGATTGGCAATAACCATAAGGACTTCCACTCGCGACTTGGTAAATATACGAATGTGTGCGTTACTAATCCTTACCTTCACCCCAAATTGGTCATTTTGCTAATTAATCTAAGGTATTCGCCCTTTTCTTAATTGAGTAAATTCAAACGATTAAATAAAAGCAAATCCCTAACTAAATATTTGTTGTTAATATTTTTATTATTCATTACCCCCTTGGTAATTTCAAGTAGGAATGAGGCGATTTATAACAATGTGCACCGCTAGAAAAACTTAAAGTAAAAAGTTTAACAATACATGCATAAACACTATTTAGCTACTTAGTTGTTATTCATACGTCGTTAATTGTTCATGATTCCAACAACCCTATCTATGGATTTAGTCACTCGTGATTGAGAGTTCATAATTCATAATTAGGTTAAAAGAATTCATGAACTCGCAATGAGAAAACATGAAAACCAAAATCATGAATTGAAATTCAAAGTGAAATTTTCATAAACTAGGTTCGAGAAAATAAATTGCTAAGTGCTACAAAAATAATTCCAAAAAGCCATAACCACAGTAAAAAAATAATGTCTAACCCTCAAAAACGGAAATAAAAACTAATATTCATACTTGTTCTAAGTATGAGACCATATGCACACATACTTTGAAATCATGCTAAGAAAAGGGGACATTCAATAAGTATGCACTTTTCATTGAAAACATTTATGCACATTCAACAAAACCATACCAAATCAATAAGACATGTTTATGAAGTCATAGGCATGTACATCACAAGACCAACAACATCAAAATAGTCAAGTCAGCATGCATATCATGTAATTAGACATATATTCAAAGCAACTCTATCATCAAGTCATAACCTCAACAAGCATGAATAAGAGTTCATTAAAACATAACCAAAGCAAGACAATTACCCACAACCCTTATCAAAATAACAAGTGCAATGACCAAGAAAAGCCTCATAACCTTACTCAATCAAGTAACATTCTACTTCACATAGCATAACATTTAAGAGTACATATCATCATACTTTAAC